AATGGGGGCATAAATAATGAAATTTGTTAGGTATATTTTAGCAAACATATGGTAACCTACCACGCAATGCTTTTTGAATTAGAAGAAAGTGAATGTCGTGTGTCGATATATCATGATTTCATATATATATATATATATATATATATATATCAACTTCGCATGTCTACCTATCACATGGACGTTTATCATTGATAAATATTAATGATAGAGTCTATCATAGTAAAGGAATAAGGAATAAGATTTTATAAGTATGGTAAAATTATTTGTCATCCATTATAATTCTCCTGAATCTTTATGATTGTTATTGTTTCAAATCTCGGTATGCTTGGAGAATGTTGTCTATTTATCTTTAAGTCTTAAGGCTGCATGGTATTGATTTTACACTCTACCTAAAATGTCTTGTACCAATATAATTGTAACTCGTACTTATTTATATATTAAGATTTTATCAACTTATAACTAATGTTTGGTATGTATCAATGGCCATTGAACCTCCCTTTCAATAGTCTTTTGTTCATTCGCTCGCAAGTACATTAAGAGTTGGATTTTCTCCCAATGAAACTTGAGAATTTTATTGATAAAACTTAAAATCATACTATGATATAGTCAATCATCATGAGTTGGGTCAATAAATGCAAACGTAAATAAAAACAGTGATATTTTGTAATTTTTTTAATGAATTTTCAAGTATAAACTAATTAAGACTGACCCGTCCTATCAAATTCGAGATAAAAATTAATTAATTATTTTGAAAAATATAATTAACAAAAATTTTGATAAAATAATTAAAAATTCTTGAAACTATTTAGAATTAATAATTAAATGAATACAATGTTTACATTTACAAATTAAAAAATTAACCCATTGTTTAAATACACTTTTTTTTCCACAGTACATACATCTCAAAAAGGAAAAGAAAAAGGTAAAAAAATCTCTCTAAACCATCGTCCACGCAAATAGCCGTCTTCTCCCTCTTGTTTCCACGCCATCGGAATCAATCTCTTCGGCCAGAATTTCTCAATTCAGTTCCAATTTCTCACTCTTCCGATCAGCTGCCATTTCCCCTTCTCTTCACTTGCGATCTCCCTAAACATACACCCACTCCCAAGAACGCACAACTACTTTAATCTTGCCCTCCCAATCAGAATCAGGAAAACTCCCAGCAAAGGAGGAGATTCCAGAAAAGTTGTATGAAGAAATGAATGTATGAAAAGGAGGAGCAGAAACAATAGGTGATGTTTTATTTTTAAAATTTTGAGTTCATGGGTGCTGGGTAAATCTTAATTTCTTGATTTTTTTTTCCTGGTTTCAATTTTGGTTGTGATGCATTTCTTGTTTTGATTTGTTGACGTTTGTTTTCCCTTAACTTGTTAGAAGATGCTTGTTGATAAATTGTGCATTTTGTGAAGGAGGGGGTCGAATTGAGAGTGGTAAAACTATCTTTGGTGATTGGGAACTCTAGCAAGGGACTCCTCTTGTTCTTGTCGAGACGTATTTTGTCATAATGCTTTTCAATCACTGTTTTAGTTGACCTGAAGTATTATCTTTCTTATTGATTTGTTGGCTTTTCTTTGCATTTTATATGGTGCCTGCCCACAGAAGAAAGTTCCATTTTGGGGTTTTTTTTTAATTTCTAGTGTTGCGTCCCATTCACCTTGTAATGATGTTTACATCTTTTGTTCTTGTCTGAAGTACTGGGGAATCACTTGCTTATTTTTCGATTTAGATTCGTGCACTTAAAGTAAATGAGAAAGCTTGATTGGTTAGGGTAAACATTTGCATTTCCTTTTGGCCGAGTGATTTATGTCATATGGGTCTGCATACTAATATATGATTACGAAAATACCAAAGCTTTGGTTCATCCATTTCATCAATGCAAGCTTCATTTTTACTCGGGCGAGTCTGCATTGATGTGATAGTGTCATAGAGATGTTTAATAGGAGGTCTACCCACAACCACCACGAGTTGGTCTCATAGCCATGGGCCAATTCGAAAAGAAGTAAAGGACTTAGAGAGAATGAGTTTAGACTAGACTATCTACTCAGATTTAATAACATACGAGTTTCCTTAATAACTAAATGTAATAAGGTCACACGGTTATCTCGTGAGATTAGTTGAGGTGTGCGCAAGCTAATTTGGACATTCATTGATATAAAAGAGAAGTATGGCTATGCATACTTGCGTAGACTAAAGCATTATTTAGAGCGTTGAGTTGTGTAGGTAGGAAAACTAATGCACACACAAGCTCTTGCATTTTTCCAGAATGAATAGGCAGGCTTGTGCCCACAGTTTACTTGGCTCTTATGAAAACATCTAGGCTAGGGATGAGATCAAATGAGAGGATATCTCGATCTGCTTGGGTTGATATTGAAATTGTGTAGAAAGGAGTTGGACATTGGGAAACTCATGGGAGAGAAAATTTAAAGGTGGACCTCTTGGCTTCACAGTCTAGAGGAACCCTTTTAGATTTGTTTTTCCACTTTGTGGTCTTTTGGAAGATGGGGATCTAGTTGCACACATGATGGTTAATGTAGGATTTAAATTCTTGGACAGTGTCTTATCAAAAAAAATTCTTGAACAGTGGATTTATTTTTGGACCCCAATTTATTTATTTATTGATTAGAAACATATTTCGTCAACTGTTCCATCGTATGAAATATACTCGGCTAGAAGCTAGCAAAAGCTAGCAAAAGCTAATAGGGTTGGAAAAAACCTCCCTAGTTATCATAAATGGTTGAATTTGAGCTACTTCAAATATATGGAGTGAGCTTTTACTTGCTCGTGGGATCGTTTGGTTTTCTAGAATGAACATATTTGGAAACATCGCTTGCTAGGAGCGTCCATCTTAGACTCTTAGTATATGGTACTTAACTTGCCTCATTTGTTTTTGAAAACTATAACTCAAACAGTTCTAATATTAACAGGCAATTTGATTTGCAATGGATTCTAGCACTAATGAAGGCAGTTATCAGACCAAACCCAAATGGAGAAAAGTGGCATATGGAGGGATGCAACCCGGGTTTGATGACAACTATACCGATGAGTCTTTTCTTGAAGAGATGGTCATGAATGCCAATGTCGTCAAGAGAGATATTCTCAAGGTGATGTTGGACTCTATTTCCATCTCTGAATATCTGTGCATTGTGACCCTTGTTGGACTCGTTTGGACGTACACACTCAGATCGACTCTCGATGAGGATTCCCTCTTATTTCTCGATATTGGTCTTCTAGTTTCAGGATTTCTAATTCTTCTTTTCACTGAAGAGACACTATCCTTGAGTCTTCTCTTGCATTACTTTCTCAATATATCCTTTTTCACAACTGGGTTGTATGTCTTGGCTCCCATCTACCAAACTCTCACTAGATCCATTAGCTCTGATTCTATTTGGGCACTGACTGTTTCACTTATTATCCTCCATCTCTTCTTACATGACTACTCAGGTTCCACTATTAGGGCTCCTGGGGATCTTAAGAATCCAAGCTTAACCAGCTGCATTTCTTTAAATGCTTCTGTTGTGGCCTCTGTTCTTATTGCTTCTCGTCTTCCATCACGGTTGCATGTGTTCGCCATAATGTTGTTCTCCTTACAAATTTTCCTCTTTGCTCCACTGGTTTTTTACTCTATCAAGAAGTATTCTCTTCATCTACATCTCTTATTTTCTTTCTGTTTGATGACGCTCACATTGGCGTATGTTTATTTCCTGCACCAGTTGCTTTTCGTATTGTTGGCCAGTCTGTTGGTTTTTGTAACCGTGGTTTGTCCATATTGGCTCATACGAATTCAGGAATTTAAGTTTGAGATCAATGGTCCTTGGGATGAGGCCAAGCTTTGTTTTGATATAAGAGATTGAGATTCTGTTAGAAAAAGGGTAGGACAGAAAATGTAAGAACTTGAGAAGACTATTTCTATCAAGGCCATACCGAATTTTGATTCGTTTTAGTTAGAAAATGCACGAGTTTGGAATTCGATTCATCGTTAAATTTCTTAGTTATTTTTCTATGTTGATTCAGCTGGCTTTTATGCAAGAGTAGGGAGGAAAATCATGAAAGTGGGAAAGAATGGGTGAAAGTTTCTGCTCAAAGCTCATTCAAGCATGATGATAATTTCAAGTGATGCTATGAATGATCTAGTATGAATACTGATGAAAATATCAATAGAAGAACATTCTGCTGTACTTAGATGCTGACTCCATGTATCCTTGTGTCGGGATCGGGATTGATTTAGCGAAAAACGAGATTAATTTTAGTGTAGTTCTTGGTTTTGAAGGTGAGGTTTTTTACTTTCTGTCTAAAATGGAGAAATTGTTTTTACAGATTTGTAACCTTTTTAATGCACACAAGAAAAAAGACCTCAGTTTCTCTGATAGTATAGGCTAAGGGTATTTGTTCTTGTTTTGGCTGAGTCTTCCTAACTTGTAAACCTCAGTGTTTTTTTTTTCCTGATATTTGCAAAAAATGGAAATTTTTATAGATTCACTCATAATTTATTATTTGAAGTTCAAAAACATGACACGTCACTAATTAACATTAATTATTAGATTATACTTTTGGAACCAAGAACATGTTGATTTTAAAATACATGACGCTATAAGATTTAAATTATTGTGAGCCGTGAATACATTTGAAAAAGAAAAAAACAACTAACTTCAATTTGATAGAGGGTGTGTTTCAGAAAAAATGATTTTCAGTAACTTAAAATATATATTTTTTCTAATTTATCAAAAATTCATTCATAATTTTAGGAAAAACAAAAGTTGTTATGTTTGTAATAAGTGTACGTGCTATAGTTTGTTTTTTTTTTCCTAATATTTCACATGATGCACTGTTATCTAAGTTTTATATTTTGAAATGAAAACGTACGTGTAGTTGCATTTAGAGCCATTTAGAGAGAGTATTATTTAGAAAACTTATTTATACAAATTTCTAAAATTTTCTAATTTTACCCTTTTAGATTTCTGCAAGTAGGATTTTATTTTAATTACATTTTACCCTTATTTATTGTATTTATATTTATTATAGTTATTTATTTTTTTAAATATAAAAGATTTAATTACATAAATTATTATCATAATCCTTTAATTATTATGGTCCCATACTATTATCAATCACAGTATATATCTACTTATATATTCGCATATATACATTCAAAATCATTATAATATATATCCGCATATATACATGTTGAGTTATAAGATATATCATAATCAAACTCACTATAATATATATCCTCATATATAAAATAGTTCACACGAAACCAGAAATGGAAAACAACCGTTGGAATGTAAACCTTTCGATCGGGATAAACGTAGACGGATTGCTCTGGCGACTGGAGATGAAGGCAGGCAGAAACGACCGGAGAGGAAGGAAGGATGAAAATCTCCTTTCAAACGTTATAAACGGAGACGGGTAAAGGAGAAAAACGGAAACGGTCGGAGAGGAAGCCAGACAGAGATGAACGATCGGAGAAGAAGAACGGATGGTCGGAGGAAGGAGAAAGGAGTTCCGAAAATGGATGGTTTTGGGACTTTTTTATTTTTGAAAATATAATTAAGCACATTTTAAGGGATTTAAATTGTAACTTCCGAATTTACCAATTCTAGATTTTAAAAATTATTTAATATTGAGGTGGATCCTTAAAAGAATATACTAGTAATTTATGTGATGAATATCATCCTAATTAGTGTTGTTTAATGACAAATGTTTAAATTTTATACATTTCAATCATTTTATGTAATTATGATTCATAAATAGACTATCAATATAATGCATTTACTGTGAAAATAAAAATTTTAGGACTTGTACTCATTTTTTTTAGTACAACAAATAGAGATGTCTAAACTAGGAGGTTGATGGCTTTTACCCACCTCTACTCTGGTTTAGATTTGTCGTGCATTATTCTCTTTTATCAAAAATAAAATTTAGTTGTGTGGATTAGTTAATACAGTGACATTAACACTAAACCTTTATGATTTATTGCTTATATTTTATCATATACTTTTTAAATGATAATTTTTTAAACATGAAATATATTTCATCTACTCAATTAGGCGTGGTCAGACAACTATTCTTGCTAATATTTTCATAACCTCAATTTGACCACGTACTCTAACCAGAGAAATAAAATTATTTAATACATAAAAAGAAAAAAAAAAGAAAGTAAAAAGGAAGAAAATCTCTTTATTGTTCAAACTGTGAAAGCTGAAAAAGCGTCCAAGTTCATCTCTACCTGAAACTCCGGTTCATATCCAGTCTGACCGGAGCTAGAAATCGTACAATTACGAACATTTCAACTCTATCATTTGAATAATAAGTCTGGAAAAGTACAGTGATCTATGCGGGCCCATTCCATCAAACACAAGAATATCCACCCAGGAATCGCGACGTAAAAATATATGTCTTAACTCGTTGAACTAATTTGAAAGTTTGCCCCAGCCAACGAGTAACAAGAGTTCCCATTCAAAGGTCTGCCATTGTTAACCGAGAAAAAAGTGGAACTTGAAAAGAGGATGGGAGAGGGGTCTCATGCCCCATGAGTGAGTTGCCAAGTGCCCCGTAGCCTAGAAGAGCAGTCTACCACAAGATCGAGTGAAAGCCTGGAGCCAAATTCCCTTGTCGGGGAGCCCTTGATCCATTGCCAAGTTTGGTCTTTCTCCAATCCTGTATGGAAGGAATCATCCGGAGTTTCACGATTGGATAACTTTATTGTTAGTTTGAATGTAATTTTAAAATATTCATTTT